TTTAGCTCCACATGAGCTCTACTATGTGGTACATCATGCAGAGTATTCAGAGCAAATACTCATTGTCGGAAAGGCTTATTCGAACCATAGCTGCCATTCGCTCCTTCCCACATGATAATGTGGAAGATCTTATACGCAGGGTGAGTTGTGTTACCAAAGCTTCAGAAAGAGTTTTATATATTGCGTTCTGAATGAAAACGTGCTGCTTTCTCAGGGAGCAGATGTGAACCGGATGCATGGCACGCTGAAGCCCCTGCACTGTGCCTGTATGGTGGCTGATGCTGATTGTGTGGAGCTTTTGCTGGAGAAAGGTGCCGAGGTACAGCGTAACAAGAATCATTCTTTATGAGTTTGCTAACTAAAGTCAATTCCCTAAATTCAGTGTTTAGACAGTTTAAAAGTAAAGCGTGCAATTTTGGTGCCACTAGTGGTGGAGAAATTACACATTTTATTAAGTTAAGTTATTAATGGGTCTGTGACACATAAGTGATTAAAGGTCTTTTCAAATATAGTTTAAAACACGTTAAGTTATATACAATGTTTTTTTCTTACATTTTGAATACTTGTGAGAAGAATACACATCTTAATCTTTATTTTCCGAAAAGTTATTAAATATATTTTTCAAGGTAAATGTTCATTTAAATTAAAAAAAAAAGTAAACTAACTTGACTTGTCATAAAAAGGTCAAAATATATTATTGACTTTGATACTCAGTCTGCAAGGGTCCTCTATGACATCAATTCCTGTTTTGTTTTTTCCTGTATAATTTTGCTTGTTGTTTGCAGCAGATGACTTTGATTTGGCAGACAAAAGTTTTTAAATATTAAAGGGTCATATGATGTTGCTAAAAAGAACATTATTTTGTGTATTTGGTGTAACCGAGACAAAAACATTAAAACCAATTATAAGCGAGGCATTCGTTGCATCCAGTGGGGACATAATTACGGATTATAATGACTTATACTGTCTTTTTACGCGTTGCGTTGCATCGCGCCGTGTAAACATAAAACCATGTCTGCATTTGTGATCGGAGAAATGAAGTTGTATTGTCACACGGCAGGCTTAAGTGAGGAACAGCCGGCGGGCTTGAGAACGGTGCGGCCGGCGGGCTTGCAGCAACCACACGTGATGACCCCGGGCTGGACTCCGCTTCGTCCACGTTGAAAGCCGTGTAACACTCCAAAGAGAAAGTAAAAATTGAAATGGCATCATATGACCCCTTTAATGAGAAATTAGAATGTTTTGTTAAAATATATGTACACTACTGGTCAAAAGTTTGGGGTCAGTATGATTTTTTAAAAAAGAAATAAACTTTCAGCAAGGATTAAATTGATCAAAAGTGACAGTAAAGACATTAATAATGTTACAAAAGATTTATATTTCAAATAAATGCTGTTGATTTGAACTTTCTATTCATCAAAGAATCGTGGTTTTCACAAAATTATTAAGCAGCCCATCTGTTTTCAATATTGATAATAAGAAATTTTCTGAAGAGTCATGTGATACTGAAGTTATGGCTGCTGAAAATTCAATAATAATAAATTAAATTTTAAAATATTTAACAATATTACTGTTTTTACTGTATTTTTGATCAAATACATTTAAAGTTGTTTCTTTTTTTAATTCAAATTTTAATATGGCTTTTTTTCTTCATTGTAGTATCCGGAAAGATGCATCACCCCAACATTTTTGACTAATTTATGACAGTATTTTAATTCAGAATTTAACAAAAAAATAATAATTTTCACCATCTAACTCTCTCACACAGGTAAACGCCTTGGATGGCTACAACCGCACTGCCCTGCATTACGCAGCGGAGAAGGACGAGGGTTGTGTGGAGCTGCTTCTAGAATACGGGGCCCAGCCGAATGCTCTGGATGGCAACAAGGATACCCCACTGCACTGGGCCGCCTTCAAAGATAACCCCGAGTGTGTACGGGCCCTGTTAGAGAGTGGCGCGTGCCCGAATGTCCGCGATTACAATAACGACACACCCCTCAGTTGGGCGGCCATGAAGGGCAACCTGGAGAGCGTCCGTGTGCTGCTGGAGTACGGCGCTCAAGTCCACGTCACCAACCTAAAGGGCCAGACGCCCATCTCGCGGCTGGTGGCGCTGCTGGCTCGGGGCCTGGGCACGGAACAGGAGGAAGAGTGCCTGGAGCTGCTTTGCCGTGCCGCGGGGAGGTTCGAGATCCGCAGGGCCGACGGCTCTTTACCGCGTGAGCTCAGTAAAGATCCTCAGTTACTGGCTCGACTCACTAGCCTCGTAGTCCAGCCGCCCTCGTTGCGAGCCTTGGCACGCTGCGCCGTTCGTAACAGCCTGGGAGTTCAGTACCTCCCATCTGCGGTGAAACAGCTCCCGCTTCCAGAGTCAGTGAAAGAATATGTGCTCCTCAGAGACTGAGCGAGAAGACTGTGCTTAATGTCAGACGTGGAGGAGGTAGATGTCTTCTGTGTACGTGAAAGTGATTGTAATCAGACTGCAATCTGAAGTGTGTCTGTCCATATACAGTGGGTGAAGAAGTGAGGAAGTTTCTTTTGTTGCTATAATGCCATCAAACAAATTCAGACTTGGGTTGCAGTACGATTGTCCGCTTTGGTGAGGAAAAATATTGATCTGTTAGGAGAGAGATGTCGATAATGCACTTATGAACCCATAATGTTAAAATATCAGTAGATAACAATGTGTGAAACACTCTAATAGCAAAAACAAGAAAATAATTAAAAATATTATTTACCAGTAAATCCTATGTACACACAAATAACACTTTAACAGCAGTTATAAGTTATAATTATATGTTAACTTTATTTCTTCTATTTGAAGTTAAAGTTTTTATTTATGCAGTAATATTTTTTTTAAGACAACTAAAACCTTAAAATTTTAAAGTCAAATAAATATTAACATTTTTGTTGAATCATTTTATGAGACTTCCCAGCCATCAAAAATAAGCCTGAAAATATGGGTGAAATTTTGCAAAAAATATAGTAAATTTGCCTCAAAGTAACCTTGTTTTACATTTGTTTACTATTCTGAAACAGAACAATGTAAGAACACTTCATTGGATTTCAAAACAATATCTATTTCTGTCCATCTATCACATTCGTAATCATGAATATTTCTCTTGAAAACTACCTGGTTTAGAGTCTTGGATTGTATTACTTATTTTGGTGCTGATGATTGCAGAAAATGAGCTGTATTTACATTTGAGATGAAAACCTTAACAAGAATATTCTGTGTCAGTAATGGGAATGTTCATTTTTTAGCTTCGCAGTGTCATGTAAGCATAATCTTTCCAAACGCTGGCAGACCATGAATGGGATGTCTTAAATTAATTCATGTCAACACTAGTGTCACATCTTGTGAACCCCCACTGATTTTTTGCAGCTCTGTTTTAATTTCTCTGTTGTTATATTGCTTGATTAAGAAGTATGTAGTGCTCACATCTAGTTTTATGCATGCATACTAACCAGTAAAAGCCTCCATGCATTGTTCAAGTGTTTTACTGCAGTTTTTTTCTTCAAACCAAGTGAAACGTGAACGTGATTATGAACACATAATTTGCCTTTTCAATTGCTTGAAACTTCAGATGAGCTGTGTGTGTATAATTTTAACCAGTAGAGGGTGCTGGAATACCACATGATATAAAACAGCTAAAGCTACAGAATGTTGCCATTTACCTTGTTTGTAAAATAATAAAAATGATGTTCTAATTTTGAATGAAAGAAAAAGACTGTCAAATATCAGGCCTTCAGGGAAAGGTAAAACCTATATTTACTTATAATAGCTAAATAAACATTTACTATTTTATATTAATTAGCAAAAACGTATTAACATTTTCTGTACGTTATTAAGACTTTAAAAACGCTCTCCGTTAAAGCCATGATTTTGTTTTCTTAATAGGAAATTTAAAAGCATACTTTAATTGTGTACATTATGCTTCTTAACGTAAGCAAGTGAGTTTGTGTTTCTTTTTAAACTCCTGTCTAAGCACAGGATGTCCTCTTTAAGAGAATGTAAATCGGTCAGGAAGGAAACTACAGTAGGACTGAATAAAGGCCTTCCTCTGCTTTCAAAGCCGTCACCTTCAGTTTACATCACAGTTTTCATCTTCATCATGGCTTTACAATAGTTAATGCACAGCAAAATCAGTATGATACACTCAATAGCAGAATGAATCACTGACCACTTGTGAAGAGAGTTAGTAAGGCCGGGATGGGAACAAAATATTGTTCATGACAATCTAAGGGTAATAATTAAAAACATTGCTTCTTTTTTTTTTGCCATTTTGCAATACAAGGAATGAGGAAACGCTATTAAAAGTGCAACGAAATTGACTGTACAATCAATTATTATATTTTAATAAGATTTTCTAACTATTTTCAAACTTTCTTCACTTAACAGAAACTGGGAGTAACAGAAACTGATATATTAAATGAATTAAACATGATACATTGTGTAATTCCAGAAGTTTCACGAACTGTATGTCCTTCAATAGTTACTGAGAGGGTAACAATTAAATATGATTTTCACTTTACAGCTTTATTTATTTTTTTATTTATTTTTACAATTTTTAATACGTTTATGTATTTTAATTTACATTACAGCTTGATTGTTTTAATATATTAATACTAATGATCTTGGGAACCACTATTCTAAAACAAGACAGTGTAGTACCCTATTATTTATTATTATTTAGAAACCTGTAAGACTGAAAAAAGGTTCAAAAGTCTTTAAGAAAAAAGTATGGGATTAATATGGCAAATTAAATTGCAAATTAAATTCTACTGATTTATTTTCACATTTTAAAATAATATATTTTAGAGTAAGAACGTGATTTACATTCACATTCATAGCAACATTCACAGTTCGTGCCAAAATGTTAACATTATTATAGTCCGAAAATAAACAAGCTATCAACAACATGAACATTAAACAACCAACAAGTTGACAGGATCGTAAACATCCCATCCCAGGTGAGCGCTGAGGGTTTGGGGTTGTGTGACGCCAAAATCTCGCGATACTTCACAGGGAGGGGCGTGACAGATTCCACGAGAGGAGAGAGAGATAGAGAAAGTGGGATAGAGGGGCGCTGTGGTAAGTTTGTAAACATTCTTCTTTTGTCAAAACTGAAGGTTGTCTTGATTTGAAACAACGCCCAATTGTTATTTATATCCGTTACCAGGTTTGTCTGTGATCAAGAGTAACTTTTATGAGGAGACTGAGAGGCTGTCAGATTGGCAGTGGTTACAGCCGAAGTCTGCGCGTACACTGCAGCTCGTTCAGAGCTCTTGACAAGCGAGAGAAGAAAATCTTAGGAACAGAAAAGTGCCCCTAGCGTCATTTATTATCTTGTATATGTATATACCATATTACCATATACTATATAGTTTTTTGCTTATATGAAATGACAAATTTGATGCCACGGTCAGTTTGTTTGCTTCAAAGTACTCTTTGCATACTTTTGTGTCTAGCTTGGGGAGTATGAGCGGCCTGTACGCTCCAAGTACGTGAATTCCATTTTTTGAGTGGGATTTCCGTGCGCCAATGAGACACAACTAATAATCGTGATTGACGTTTATTGTAGCCAAACAGCAATTCGATATTTTTGATTGACGCGCGTGTGACCAATCAGAACGAGGGTAGGGCGGGCACATGCGGGAAAAGGCTGGCTTTAAAGTTGGCAAGTTCGCAAGACAGCAAGCTAGCATGGGTTTGCTAAACAGTTAGCGACGTTTATTTTCGGCGAGGGCGCTAGAAATGAACATTATTTTTGGTGTATGCAGCAATCCAACATAGAAGTTAGAAATTGCACATTAAAGTGTCATAAAACTATGTATAAAACAAAACTCGGCAACCGTGCCTTGTGTTTTTAGTGTTTATTTCCATAAAAGTTATATTTTTGTTGCTTACAGAGTCATGATTTGAAGTAAGATAAATTACTTTTCATATTTTACTTTTTAGTTTTTTCAACTAAACTTTTCTAAAATGCAGTAATTACTGTTAGGTTAAGGCAGATGTTTGTTTTTTTTTGTCATGAATAAATAAAAGAGGGTCAACCCCACACAAATGTTAGAATTATAAATCATTCCTTGCAATTTAAACAAACAATATTTGTTTTTGTCTCGTTTGTTAGCTGTATGAATATATTATATAAAACAAGCACCTGCTGTTGATCAGTTTGTTATCCCATGAAATTGTTGTGGGTATTTGTCCAGATAAGTCAGATAAAATAAAGATAAGATAAAGACATATTTGCTCATAATGCATCCAGTGTGAAAAGACGCCTCCTAAAACAGCTGATAACAATCAACTTGATCTCATCTGAGCGTGTGAATGTCCCATCTTAGACCTGTAAACACCATCTGTATGTCTGAGGACTTGTAATTGTAGATATAGGTCATCTTCATATGGCACTTGTTGAATTCCAATAATGTTACTCTTTGGAATGACTGTACGTCTCCATATAATACATCATCCTCTCAGTAGACATATTTGCTTGTGCACTAGTGAGCATTTTTGCAGCTGTTACAGTAATTGCCTCATAGCGGCTTGGTTAATAAGAGCTCAGAGATTTACTTGTTACTTTCACCTCTGCTATAAGGCATCTGCAGCGGTTCACAATGTGTTAAGTGAAGACGTTTTACAGGAAGGAACTTCATATGCCAGTTTGACGTCTTTCATATGATGAAATCGGCACTGTTTGTGACTGCCAGGTCGTTTGTTGAACCATGCTAACCATTAAAAGTCAGAACTGTGAATGACGGATTATGTTATGATTATGTAAGTTGTCCTGGCAACAGTTGTATTCAGGATAATATAATTGACAGCTTATAATGATAGTTGCCCGGATGCGACAATAGAGCAGACCAAATAACACTGTTTCAAATGTCCAGCAGACCAAATAACAGACTGTTCAAATAAAACAGACAATAAGGGTAAACTTCCAGCCGTGCTTGAGTTGATTCTGGGCATCTGTGCTCTACTAAAGTTATGTAATATTTGGTCCACTCTAAAAGGTGTGCCAGGCTCATGAAGTACTGTGAGAGAACTCGCAAAGATCGAGGGAGATACTGCATAGTAGAAATAATGAATGGACAATGTGGGTGGCTGGAAACTGTTTTCATCTGGTTTTTGGCAAGCACACCAGGGTTGATGGATAGCTCTGATTTAGGAATCATTAAAATATGATATTCGCATGCCATCATGGTGTGATAGTGTTTAGAGAAACAGCAGATTATGCCAAAATTGAATTGGTATGTCCATTATAATGTAATTAGCCACTCTTTCAGAACATAGCCATACTGACAGCAATATTTTTCCAGCGTTTTAATATGATCTTGATGTTTATTTGCTCTGAAATTGCTTAAAATGTTTTTGCAGTCAAATCATAGAAACCATCATCTAGACCATACGCTGTGGTTTAATACAAGAAGTAAAATATGGTGAACAATCTAGATGATAATAATGATAAGATGTTTTTCACACTGTTTTACATCAAAGGAACACAACATTTTTATTTTCATAGTTCAAAAGTTTGGGGTCTGCAAAAATTCTTTAATGTTTTTGAAAGAATTCTCTGCATATACTGCATTTGATCAAAAATACAATGAAATCTGTAATACTGTAAATATTACAATTTAAAATAACATTTTAAATACATTTTAAAACGTAACTTATTCCTGTGATGACAAAGCTCAGCCTTCAGCAGCCGTTACTCCAGTCTTCAGTGTCACATGACCCTTTAGAAATCATTTTAATACGCTGATTTGCTTAAGAAACATTTACTGTTGTCAATGTTGAAAATTGTTGTTGTGCTGCTTAATATTTTTTGTGGTATATTTAGATTCTTTGTCTAGAAAGTTCAAAAGAACAGCATTTATTTGAAATAGAAATCTTTTGTAACATCATACATGTCTTTACTGTCACTTGTTTCGACAAGGTCAGTGTGTCCTTGCTGAATAAAAGTATTAATTTCTTTCTTTAATTTCTTTCTTCTGACCCCAAACTTTTGAACAGCAGTGTTTGCACGCTATTAAACTGCTATACATTAATAAACAGCAATATTTACCTACATATGTTTTTGCTACAGTATTTCGTAGGGACTGAAACAAAGGTTTTTCAGTAATAATGCAAATAAGTCCATTTGAATCAGTGTCGCGTAACATATTGCCAGCAACATAATCGCAAATATATCATGGACGTTTGATATATTTCTGTAGGCAGGAGAGAAGACGCACTGTTGCCATTTTGTTGACTTGTAGCATGTCCAACATTGTTGGAGCAGCAGTATGATCTGATCTGAGGAGGATTATGGGTTTACAGAGGGGGACTTGGGGTCCACATTGTTCCTAGCAGAATACAGGCCCTGGGGACTGCATTGGGCTACATTGTGTATTTCCTCACTATGGGTTTAGCACCGGGCACACAGCAGTCATGCAGACATGGATCTAAAGTTTCATTTTGTTCCATTTTCCAAAGCTCAGGTTCACTAAGGTTACATAAATCCAAATCAACCATAAAACACACCCGCACCCTAGATCCCCCGTCCCCGAAACCATCTGCGGGACCCTTGGCCTTTACCTGCAAGTTACCGAACACCCTCCAAAAGTGTTCGTTCCATTCTCTGCTCCCTGCCCCCCTTTTCCGTCACTCCCTTTTTGTGGGGTCTCCCTTACTCTCTGGCAGCGCACTCTCCAGATTCCTCATTCTTGGCTCCAGCTGGAGCTATTAATACAGTTTATTTTGTCAGTTTCCTAGCAGACAGCATCAAACAGTGCACGCCTGAGGCAGATTATAGCCGGACCTTGCTACACTGTCCACCTGCTGAGTAGGAGAAATCCAAGTTAACAGCAGGATGTTGTTTGTCCCCATGTCGGACCACTAAGGCCCAATTGATCCTGAGGAACTGGGCTGTGAATTTAAAAAAATGCATTTCACAGAGTTCCCACAGTTGTGGAAAAAAATCTGGAAAGGTGAAGTCAGGGAAATTAAGGACATTTTAAATTGTCCTGGAAATTTCTGTAGTCAATATAATTCTCTAAAATGTTTCATAGCTTAAAAAATGTTTTTTATATATACAGTGTGTTAAAGAATAAAAAAAAATCTAATTTTTATGATTTTTTTTTTAAATCTAGAAATTCATCAATTGTTTACTCAGGGACTGCTAATAATGTTAGCTCCTGTATCATTTGCTGTGATTCTGCGTTTGTAATTTTGAATAAAAGCAGCGTCCTCTTAATGATTCGATGCAAATATAAATGTAAATGCGAAAGTCATGGAAATCCATTGGTCAGAAGGTGTGGGATCCCTGAATGTATTGCATTTTTAAAAACTCAGGCAGTGCGTTGCTAGTATACTGCCAGCTGTCGTCCTGTTTAAATTGTTGATGATAGACAAACCCAGCAGTTCAGTTTATCTTCAGTAGTGCTATCAAAGTTGGTGGATGTTGTCAGAGCCGTGGCTTAGCAACAAGCACTCATGCAGAGATATGCGGTTCTCATGTAGGAGACTCTGGTTGAATTTGTTTTAGTGATGCACCAAAATGTATTTTTACTAAAAGACTGAAACCAAAATTATCGTTTTTATTTATTTGGAACCAAAAATAAGTTTGGGTAATTGAATTTGGGAAACTGGGTAATTAAACTCTCTATGCTGTTCAGGGTTTCATGTTCTCAGGTGATAAACAACACTGTAAAAAAATTTTGAAGTTGTAAATAAAACAGATTATTGGAGAATGTTTCAGTCTTTCTACTTCAAAATGTTATGTTTCTTTCACGATTTAACTTACAGTTTCTTTGTAGTTATTTGTAGGGGTGTGAACCTACACTGGTCTCACGGTTCAGTTCGATTACGATTACGATTACGATTATCATGTCATCGATTTGGTTCAATTAGATATCACGATGCATCACAATGCATTGACGATGCACTGCATCCTCAATTTTCAATTTTACTTCACATGTATACAATTTTGTCAATAAATACAAGCAGTCAGATATATGAACTGTACCTGACGTGGTTTCTCAAGTTAGTGGTATTACCCCCTGCATATTTTATTGTGCGTGACATGATTTACACACAGCGATTTTCCACACTGGAGTCTTCTCCAGGTCGTGCTTACCAGGTTGTTCATAAAAGCCGAAATGTGCCCAGATGTCGGCTTTTAAAGTAGTTGGAGCATTTTTAATTACTCGCACTCGCCTCCCTCCGCCATTAGGCGCGTTCGATTTGAAGCAGTGCTGCGCAGAATGATCAGTGTACTGTATGACATAAACCGCGAGAGCGATTCGAAAGCATAAGGATCCATCTGCTCTCTTATTGTTCTCGCGGTACTTGATGTCATGCACTGATCATTCTGCGCAGCGGCACTTCAAGCCGAATACGCCTAATGTATGCTACCGCAACAAAGCACGTATGCGACAAATGACATCAGAAAAGCATCAGTACGTTATAATCAATTATGGTCTATTACTGAACCGATACCGAATCGTCCTCGTCTGCATCACGCTGCATCGTGGAAATGATTAATTTCGATACCCCTAGTTATTTGTGAAATTTACTAGCAATTTCTGGTCCTACACCAGTTTTTAAATTTTTTTTATAAGATTTTTATTTTGGCATTTTGCCAAAGTCAGTGTAATGAAAGGAAGCGAATTGCGAGAGAGAGGGGGACAGGATTGGGAAAGGTCCACGAGCTGGGATTCGAACTCAGAATGCCCGTAGCGCAACAGCGATGTATTGGCGCTGACACACCAGTTTTTTTTTTTAGTGCTATTGTAGTAATGTTTTTCGGCAACAAGTCACCTCTCGTTATTTCAGCTGAACAAATGATACACATGCTAATTTAGCATCCTTTTTGCTCACTGTGAAGTGTGTCCACCCTGCTAGTTTGTTTATCTACAGTATATTGAGTGCACAAAATAATATGTCTGACACAATTAAAACATGTAACTGGAAAAATGCTGATCAAACATCACTGTTTTGATAAATGGTTTTGGCCCTCCAAAACTATTTTGGCCAAAACCGAAAATTCTTTTATTGTTAGTTGCTGAAATTTTGTTACATCACAGATTTATTTATTTACTTTTTAGGTGCAGTTTAGTTTGTTATAATGCAAGCCTTTTGAGATGTTAAGAGAATGTCGTTTCATTAATAGAAGTTTTTTTGAATTCATTCGTTGGAAATAATTAAAGTATAAACATGCTTAAACAAACTTCAGTTACAAATGCTTCCCATGCTTTTATATTGCAAACATAATCTTAATCATAACAGGAAGTGGTCTTAGATTACTCTAGAATGTCTTTGTGAATAATCCATCAAGGCTCTATTTTTGTTTTGGACGGTCAGTTGTAGCACAGGTGGCCCGATCTCTGTTCGGCTGATTTATTGTGCAATGGTAAACTTCAGACTCCAGCATGAGTGTGCTCTCTTAGTTTGAGGCTTACTGAGATGTGGACACTTCACCAAGGGTATAACGGATGGGTGGTTCTCATTTGTATATGGTCTCTCCGTGCGTTTCTCTGACCAAACTGTCTGTGTGTATTGCAACCAGTCCGAAAGATCTGGCACCAAGTTGTTGGCTCACTTGTAGAGCATGTGAGGTCTGCAAGGAATCAAGTTGCTTAGCTTGTACTCCACTTTGATCTCAGCTGTAATGGGAAGGGCCTTTTGGGGCAAACAAGATGCAGTTATTTTCTTTATGGAAAACAGAGCAAGGGTCTTGGCAGAGGCTGCTGATTTCAGCTTATAACTGCATGTCCCTCCACACGAATCACTTGAACGCAACTGAAATAAGGAAATGTACAGCATTCTGTTTTGTTCTTTTGTGCTCTGTATACCTGTGTAATTTAAAGGGATAGTTCACCCAAAAATGAAAATTTTGTCATTAATTACTCACCCTCATGTCGTTCCAAACCCCTAAGACCTTCGGAACACAAATTAAGATATTTTTTATTAAATCCGAGAGATTTCTGACCCTGAATAGACAGCAAAGCAACTACCACGTTCAAGGCCCAGAAAGGTAGTAAGGACATCGTTAAAATTGTCCATTTTACATCAGTGGTTCAACCTTAATTTTATGAAGCTACGAGAATATTTTTTGTGCGCAAAGAAAACAAAAATAATGACTTTATTCAGCAATTTCTTCTCTTCCATGTCAGTCTTCAATGCACATTCACAAGTACCACAACTTAATTTGTGTTCTGAAGATGAACGAAGGTCTTACGGGTTTGGAATGACATGAGTGTGAGTAATTAATGACAGAATTTTCATTTTTGGGTAAATTATCCCTTTAATTAAGTGTTTTTTTTTTGTAAAGGTCCCCTAAACAGCATGTCCATATGAGTGCAAGATAGGTAAATACACATTGATTAGTCAACTAGTTGTTCAGACAACCCACCAAATAATTGTTTTTTAAAATGTGTGCATTTTTGTGTATTTCTATTCTATTTGCACTTTGAGAGCAGTTGCTTTTGTTTGCTGTAACTTTACAGCACTAATGTTACATAAATTAGCAGCATCTCAGCCTGCAGACCTGCCAGTCTAAATGGCTTTTTAAATTTTTACAGATGACACATGCAAGCTTTATCCATTTAAATCCCTGTTGTTATAGTCAAGGAAGATGTTTGGTTCATTCTTCACCTTTTGTTTGCGGTGGTGGTTGTGTAACTCACCAGACGTCATTCTGAGCTGGTGGGGCATGTTGAAAGCTTAATGAAACTTCCCTCCATTTAAATTTAATGAACGTGTTACTTTTTCCAAAATTCCCAGCCTCTCTATGCGTGGAGCGTTGGATTTAAAGGAGTGAGAGTGTAGATTGAGGTGAACTGCTGTGAAGACAGATGACAAATTCAGTCAGCCCAGTCAAACTTGCTGAAGGCCACCACAACTAAATCTAAAACGTGTATATAATGGATACTAAACATAAGTGTGTAGTACATTAACACATTTGAAACTAGAGCTAGGCAATATATTGATTATTACAGAATACTTGTGATTTTTCTGTCAGTATAAAACTATGCACCGTTATGATCTTTAATGCCCATTATTTGACCAATACGTCTTGAGGACCTTGACATTTGAGTAGTTTTGCAATCTTTTCTAAGAAGGATAAGTTAAAACCTTTATATAAATGATGACTTGATTCAGCGATTCATTTGCTTCACTTAAAGGGATATTTCACCCAAAAATGAAAATTCTGTCATTAATTACTCACCCTCATGTCGTTCCAAACCCCGTAAGACCTTCGTTCATCTTCAGAACACAAATTAAGATATTTTTGATTAAATCCGAGAGCTTTCTGACCCTGCATAGACAACAACATAACTGACACGTTCAAGGCGCAAAGAAGAATTTGTTGAATAAAGTCGTTATTTTTGTTTTCTTTGTGCACAAAAAGTATTCTCGTAGCTTCATAAAATGAAGGTTGAATCACTGATATCACATGGACTATTTTAATGATGTCCTTCCTTACTACAGTACCATTCTGGGCCTTGCGCTGCTGTCTATGCAGGGTCAGAAAGCTCTCGGATTTAATCAAAAATATCTTAATTTGTGTTCTGAAGATGAACAAAAGTCCTACAGATTTGGAACGACATGAGGGTAATTAATGACAGAATTTTCATTTTTGGGTGAACTATCCCTTTAAAAAGGTTTTAAATGCCTCCTTGTTGCATTTTTTACTAAATATACGTCTATGCATTGGTAAATATGCATATTATATATATGCATTGCGGTTTATTGCTATATATTATGTTGGTGCATTTAAATTAAAATTATTACATATAATTATTTTATTGTGTTTATTTAGTGAAAACGTGTTAATTATCAAACAGATTTTTGTTTTGTTTTGTTTTTTACTAATTAAACCAAAACACTTGTGACAGATCTTTTCTTCCATATTGTGACATACAACTGAGTGAATTATTGAAAAAGAAATTTGAAAGGATTTAGGTAAAATAAAATATATAAAAAATTGGAGAAGTCCTGCATACTGTACGTCACCAGAGAGATGTCTGTTTTCACTAGAAGGTCCAGTTATGACATTTTAATTAAACATGATGAAGAATTAAGAAAAGAAAGTAGATTTTCATTTTGTGCCAACTTTAAGTCCCGTAATCATGGACAACTGGAAAAGTCATTAAAAAATAATTGGTCCAAATTGTGGACAACCCTGTATGTAAGTTTTAGCTGCCCAGCCCTTTTCTGAACATCTCATGGATCCATCAGAGTCCAGGGAAGCATTCGTTTAGTTTGATTCCAGAGTAATGTCGAGCATGTGTGTGTTTGTGTGGAAGGTGCTGGCAGTTTGTCTGGAATAACTGCAGTGGTTCGGCTAATAGGAAAAGAGGGAGTGTCTACGACAAGCCAATACACACGCATGCCATTCCCCTGGATCAGAGCGGCTCATTCCAGACATGTCTCTCCAGAATTACTATTATTGCGCTGTCCGTTCCTCAATTCCAACACTTGCCATCTTTACACCCTCTTGAATTAGATGAAAGCAATCAATCGATCTTATCTCTGAGGGAAATCGGTTCCCGGCATCTGGCAAAACGGTACCAGCACAAGCTCTTGATGTCAGTGTAGATGTCTTGAGTTCCTGTGAAAAGTGATGAGTGTCTGGGAGTGTGGGTTGCTGATATTTGAGCCTGAGAATCGGGTGGAGGAGTTCAGAGAATGACTGCAGACAAAGGTGTAGAGTGGCACTAGAGTCGTCGCCGCAGAAGAGCTTTGTGGAGATGGTGTCAGGAGGACTACAATGAAAAGTAGAGGAGGGGCTAAAAAGACTTTGCTTTGAGCAAATCCCGAACTCCGCGTGTCATTGTTCTGCCAGATGCCCCCAGTGTAAAGGAAGTATCACCAGGGAAACTTGTAGTCGCTACACTAACATGCATGTGCTCGGTTCTTCGTTATTTTTAAACACCCGTCGCTTCCTGTGCTGAGCGAGGATCCAGGCAGAGTCATCCCTGGGATTGGCTGTAGAACTTTTTCTGGCTTGAACCTCTAGAAAAACCCTTCAGTAATGTTCTCGTCTTATCTTCCACAGTTATATTGCAAAGCCTTTGCAAAGATGGGGGACGACAAGCCTTTTGTGTGCAATGCTCCTGGCTGTGGGCAGGTAAGTTCGCTTTCGCTTTGTCTTGGGTTTCAGGTGTGGGTGTGCTTTTCTGGTTCATAGGGCATTCTCTGGTTATTGAAGAGTCGTCCTCTCAGCTGCACGGTAGGCAGACGTCTGCCCGGCGTGTGTGTGGAGGGAGGTGCGCCGTGTTGTTTCTGTCACACTGCAGCCCAGGGCCACACTGATGAAGCTGATAGCGCGCTTGTGAAACTGCGCTAACGCCTCTTGCACTGTCACAGACTTGGCCAATGAGTAATCGTAGCTCAGTTATCGTCTACACTTGTCTGCTCTGAGTTAAAGTCCATGCAGACGCTATGATGAGGTTATTGATGCTAATAAGTGCACTTATGATGAAGTTGCAGACAAAGTAGGTTGAGAGTGAGTGCACTGCAAAACAATCATTTAATCTCTCTTTGCTTCCAGTAAAAATATCACTAAAACAAAAAAGGACCTTACAAGCAAAATTGCATAATGTAATAAAACCATTTACAGATAATTTATGTCCTGATTAAATTTGTAAATAAAAAACACCCAATAAAAATAAAAATGTTAAGTTTTTATAATATATAAATAATAATATCTGTAAAATAATAAATAACATAAAAAGGTAATATATAAAATTTTAATCAAAT